CACTGCCCGATCATGATTATCATGTGCAGGGTTTTGTTTTTATGACGGTTTTCAATTGGGGCTAATCACTGATAAGATTAAGCGTTTACATTTACAACAGCGACGTCGTAAAATAAAATTTAAAAAAAAACGAAAAAAGATACATTTCCCTTTACCTCTCATTTAAATAAGAAATTCACAGCGTAAAACTGGCGACAAACCGTTAAAAATCTATGGCTAGAAGTGAATACAGACTTGGCCGGCGGTCCGGGGCATTACTCAGGATTTTTCAGCCTGGAGATGTTTCTTAGGAGGCTGAGGCTGGAATTCAGGGGGCGGGAGGAGGAAGAGCGGAGGCGGAGGGCCGAGCTTCTCCCGTTCCACCGCCTGCTCGTAAGTCGGCAGCCCGGTGACCAGCGTGTAGCTCGGCAAGGATTCGTTGGACGCCCTCCGCGGTCCTTCTATGTCTTCGCCGCTTCCTTCCGAATTTGAACCTGAAACAGAGAACGACTGGGTTTTAAGCCGGGTGGAGGAATATGACACGGGCGAGATGTTCCGTCCGCCCCTTTGCTCCATCTCTTCCTTCGACGTCACTAGTGACATGCGACACCAGAAAATATTCGATACCAGTACTCGATACTGGTATGGAAAGTATTATTCGATACTGCTCAAGTATCGACTAACGAGTACTTTTACTCATATGAATACTTTTTCGTTTATTCATAAATGATCACTCACGGTCGACTTGTGGATAAAATACACTCATGCGTTCAAATAAACAAGAATTTGCTGGTTTTTCATATTTTTAAGTATTTTTTCATTCAACACATTTCAACATAAATATTTCAATTTTATCGTTATCGAATTTTGGGAAAATTGATCAACGGGAAGTGACGTTCCGATACTAACCCGTTAGGTAATTAAAGACAAAAACATTTTATAAGAAATTGCTTAAATTTAAGTGCAACGCGGGAAAATTACGAATTATGAGAATTATAAATTGTTACCAACCAAAAATTCGAAATCTCGATTAAGTTTGTTGACACATGCCGCTAATAGGCGCTCCAAGTATCTAGTCAACTCCCAGTTTGATTTTTTTCCTTACTAAAAAAGGTAAGTTTCGAACGGTAAATAACAATTCAATATTACTCGAACACTCGACAAAAATCTATTTGAATATATTTTCCCATACTACTCGATACAGAACTTGTAGATCGAAAGTACTTGGTAACGAAAGTAAATACTCGATACTTTACTCATATCGGTTGGCATCGCACGTCACTATGACCCCGCGCTGGAAAAATGTCCTATGTCTTTTCTTTAAAGTCAAAAGCACTTTGGCCACGTATATACTTCAGTTTTTTTATGACGGGAAGTTTTATAAGACTTTCGATCTTCAAACATGGTCGCTCGATCTGGCCCAATTGATGGTCATAAATTGATGAAGGAACTAGAATTCGTTCGATGTTACTTTTTTCAGGCGATATTACTTATCCTCCAGCAAAACTATTTAATTTAAATAATTTAATTAAGTCGACTTAAATGTTTTAAAAATGCCCTTTACTTTCTGCGAAAGATCCAGTGAGAAAAATGTCAAATTGCGATATACATTACGATATATACTCGTGGTGGTCTACGGAGTGATAAACCTGTAGTTGGGTCTTATCCGATTATTTTGGTCTGCCGATTATTTCGACTTCCCGTCATCAGTGGTGGTGTGAGTGATTTTTTTTTGTCCAGTCGGGTCCATTTTGTACGATCTATGTGAAAGGTGTTGCGTTTGTATTGATGGCATTTTTGACGGATTAATTTTGGTCGGTTCGGACGTTATTGTCATCCAGCCTACAAACTCGAACACTGAAGATGGCGAGAAGCGAAACAACCGCAGGGGTGCCCTGACCAAAAAGATCCGAAACGATCAAACTACAAAATATATTTTAGTATGTTTTCTGAAACTAACGCGATCGTCAAATATACAACTCTTTTAATTTTATGCATCTATTGTTAACACACCACAATTATTACGTCATAAGAAGATGGGTACTTTTATATTTGATCGATAGACCAAAAACAAAACAAAAAAACCCAAAATATATGAAAAATCTATTTTCACCTTTAAAGAAAATAACATAATTTTTTTAAAATAAAAGTACCCAGATTAAATGCTACATAGTTGATAGCACAGTTTATTTATAAGTTATTGCTTTTTTAAAATGGACTTATGATCTTGGATATTAGCCAAGGAGATGTTTTATACTGCGTATATGAGTGTTTTTGGTGGGGGAGGGGTGCGTGAAAAAATACCAGGGAGGCGGTAGGAATCGAACCCATGTCCGTGGGGGTCTACGAGCAGAGTAGTTAACACGCTGACCAATTGGCTACTGCAGTCCCCCAGTACATATTTTAGTTTTAAGAGCTATGCAAGAATTAATTTTTTCATTCTCTTGTAGAAAAATCTAAAAATGGCAAATTTTCTTCTTAACATCTTCCCTTTTTAAAAACATATCTACAAGTTATTTTTCTTTATTAACCCTTAAAATGATTTTCGAAACCTTGTGATTCTATCTTCGAGTAGTGAGCATCAGAAGGATGGATCAACAAGTGCTTTTCGTTTTTGGCTGTGGCGGCATTTGTGGCAATTTAATGAGCAATCGTCGGTAAGTGTGGCGACGAAGAGTACACCCTCGAGGTAGAATATTACCCTTCGTAATCCACTCCGTGTCTTTTACTCGTAATTGCTTGGTAAACACAACCACGGTAAGGGTTGAAACGTGACAGCTTCACAGGGATTCTTTTTATATTACGTACTTTTATTTCGATCAGGGAAATCGATTTTGTTTTGTTTTTTCCCTCGGCCTGTCGATAAACAAGTGATTATAATTTTGAGATAATTCCAGCCCTAATACGTTCTTAGTACTCGTTCGCGGATGCACTGACATTTCCCTTAAATTCTCCAATAACTAAAATTTAGCTATCCCCTTGAAGACCAATAGTAAAACGGCATTTTTCATTAGGCTATCTCACATGAAATGTCCGTTTATTTTATTATAACTTTTAAAAATGATTTTTTGTAAGAGTAAGTAACATGGGCATAGATGTAGAATGCATGCTAATTTTCTATTTAATGACATGTTTGTTTTCATTAGGAAATTATTTAAAAATTTTAGTTATTTTTAAAACCATTTAAAAACACGATTTTTTAATATTTTTAAATTAAAAATCTGTCATTCTGCCCCACAAGCGGAAACAATATTAATCAGGTTTTCGTTTAAGGGGGATAGGTCTAATGGTATTCGTCATCAATTTGGTAAATTTTCTTCAGGAGACACGACCTACCAAAACAAAACCCCGCAGAAGACCTTCAACATCAATCGAATACGAATTTCTTAAGTAAGCGGCGAAAGAAAATCTTGCGACAGATCTTGACTTTCGTAGGACAGATTCCATACGTTTACAATTAATCGTCAAAGTTGAAAAGCTCGATACAAAGTCCCGCATGAGCTGAATGAACGACAATACATCAAACGTCAAGAGAGACGTGTTTTTCTTATTATTTCTTGACCGGGAACGCGCGACGAGAAAGGGATCATGTATGACAATCGACGTTATTGATCAGTCTTGGGGTGGCACATTTGACTTTTCTACGATCACCTCAACTACAAAGAAATTGACCGAATTGATTAAAAGATCCAATTCTTTTGGAAGACATGGCCCGACCTCATGTACGTACAGTAAACTACAAACTACTACTTTTTCGGAACTTACTTATTTTTAATAATATTCGATAATTTTATTCGAGGAATATAATTGCATTTAAATAGAAAATTATAAAATTGTGTTTTGATTTTGTTTCATCGTGTAATTTTTCACACGAAATTCTAGGCTAACGGTAGTCTATGCTTCATGTTTTTACAGAAAACCCTTTTTGAAAAGATTTATTTAATAAACATTTTATATATCTTAATATTTACGTAGATGGAAACAATTCGTACAAAAAGATCGTTAGATAATATTTTTTATGAATTAAATATGTGTGAATTGGTATATTTGTACTAAAGTATACACGTCACGGATTTAACATTTTAAGAGTAGAAGACTGGGCTAAGTTCAGGCATTTCGTACAGTTGTGCTCACAAGTAGAGGACAAGACATGATATAAACAGGCCAATCGTGAATATTTTGAATGAAAGTAATAAAGACTACATTTTTCAAAAAGTTGTTTTCATGTGAGAATCAAAAACTTGAAAGACCCCAGTGCTGATCTTTTTGAAATTCTAGTTACGAGCAGCGAAAAGATTTTAACCAGGTGGGAGGTTTCCCGTACATATAACTTGTAGCTAGGACGTTTTGCAACGAAAATAGATTATTTTTAACATAATGATTATTTGGAGGTCGTGAGATAGAGGTCTGGTGAAACGTAGGTTTTAGAAAAACATTTTCTTCATCGTGCCAACGTTTCGATCTTTACTGAGATCATCTTCAGGGCTCAAAGTGATTGTTTTCCGTGTAGATGTGTCATTCTAGTCTGTCTTGTTGAGAGTGCCAATCATCAAGTAACGGTCACTAAACACCACACATTTTAACATTATGTTCTATTTTTTCTAATGAGTTGTACTGCTGAAATCTCCATAATGGTAGGAATAATACAGGATAAAACGACGCATTACGCAATGGAGAATAAAAATTAAAAAAAAAACACGGATATTTCATGTGTGATAACTAAATATTTTAAATGCTGCAAGAGGGAGGTTCTCTACTGCTGTGCTTTTCGTTTATTTTAAATGATTTTGTTTTTGTATTACATTTAAGACGTGATGTGATTAAAAAGAACCCAATTTTAAAAAATCTAATTAAAATTTTTATCTAAAACCTTTTCTTTTAGTTGTGATGCGGGACATTTTATTTTAACAGATAATGTGATAAGATAAAATTATTCAGGAAGTAAAGGCTTTCATTATGGCATAAAAAGGATCTAAAGTAGTTTAGGATGGTTATTAGTAAAACAAAAATACAAATAAAAATAAATTTCCATACGAAATTTTTAGTTTTAAAAATTCAACAATAAATAATTTTTTATGAACACTTAATCAAGCAAATACACAATAACATTTCGTATATACATATATTTTTCGATTTGTTCGTTGGTTGGAAATGTTTTTATATCTTCGTTGTTATATTCCTCTCACAATCGCTTTTTGTCCTCTTCGTTTATTCGTTTGATCACTTCCAGCAAATGTCCCAGTGTCTTTCAGTAGATACGATTCTCTAACAATCTCTGTACCATTTTGGGATCGAATTGTCCAAAACATCACAATGCTTGTCTCTCATCTTTAATTAAGCTATCTCCTCCAAACATTTATTTGTCTAAAAAACATAAGAAACCTTATTTGAACAGATGAGATTTAAAAACCTGGCGTGTATTAGTATGAGGGAATCAATTAAAATTAGCAGGGTTTTGGAGTGAACCTGATGATCTTGTCTAGACGACGCATTTTTCTCAAAATTACTTTCCTTGGTTTTAAATAAAAAGGATTTTCTTTTTATCTAATACCTTTTTTTCTTTTCTTCCAGTACCATTTTCTCTCCATCTTCTTCGCTGGTATTCTTATTTTATTGCCAATCCCAGTTTTTCTGAGTGAAGTTTAGCCGAATTTACAGCTGTATTATTCACGTTTACACTTAAATATAATGAAGCTGTTTCAGGGTTAATTAGCTTTATATATCTTTTATGCCCCTCAGAGATGTTCATTTTAGTGATTATTCTTCCATCTGATTTAATATTTAAGCATAAATACAACCAACTAGAGTAAATACAATTGCAATACTCAAAATAATAATATAAGAAATGATAACAAACACGAAAACAACTATATAAAAACTATAAAATAGTACGGTGAATGACTGCCAGACAACAACGCACAGACCAAGCCGCTGGATCTAAAGGGCTGAAATTTCAACAGCGCATTTCTATAATGACATGGATAGCAGCTAAGAAAGGATTTTTTGAAATTTCATCCCTAAGAGGATCATATAGACAATTTTTTCCATAGACCGAAATGAACTAAAGAGACGAATTTGAGAAACGAGGCATTATATTAGAAAGCCACACTAGCACTCTGCATCGCATTAGAAAGGTACATTAAAACTTAGTCCCGAGTGAACGAAGGCGCGGGTAAAAGGTAAAATATATATATATATATTTAAAATGTCTCTTTCAAGCTTTAGTTTTATCAATCACTCAACACGGGCGTGATTTCGTTTCTGTACATTTATTTTCTCCCGCCTGTCAAATTATCGTTTGTTCTGTGATATCCGTTTATTCACGACATAACCTTTAATGGAAAAGTGAACCGGCCGCCTGTCGTCTTAGGTAGATTATAAGGATTATTATATAAAATAAAATAGCGCGCCAGTTATGAAATAATGATGTTTCAGATGTGTTTGTGGAAATTTTTTTACGGGGGTTCGTAATAGCAAAGGTGACCCTCGAGGTTTGCTGATGGGTCGCCGAGTCAGCGCTAAGACCGTTGCCATTACCGACGCGACGCCCCCAATTAAGAAGTTTCTCACCTCTTATATTTAAACAAAAAATTTCAGAAATAAAAATGCCATTTGACTTCAGCTATTTGTTCCATAAAATAATAATAATAATAATGAAAAGGAGGCCGGTGGCCGCAACAGCGTTGATGCGATATTCATCTCTTAAGCCGGGAACACACCCGATGCAACGATATGCGACGCTACCTGATTCTACCCGACCCAAATCTAAAGTTCAATTTTCCATAAGATTGTATTACCCCCGTGCACATCTGTCCAATGCTATGCAACGCTACCCTACTCTACGCTCTGCGATCCCCACTGTCAAGATTTTCGTCGGGTAGCATCGAGTACAGTCGAATACAAAAGAATCGGAATATTTTTAAATAAATAATTTAAAAACTCATATTTTTATTCAAACTACATGTATTATGTGTAGAGATTAGTGACCGTTAATCGATAGTTATTCAGATATCGTGAGATGCGGTCGGGTGTGATGCGGGTTTCAGAAAAACATTTTCTTTATCGTGCCAACGTTTCGATCTTTATTAAGATCATCTTCAGGGCCTGGGATTTACAAACATTGTTTACATTTAACAAATACATGTAGGATGTGGAAAAAAGTGAATTTATACAATGTATGTATATATTTTTTATATTCAATCAAAGTATTTCTACTCACTCAAAGTGTTTGTCTTCTGTGGGATTGTGCCATTCTTGCGTGTCGTGTTGAGAGTGCCAGTGAGATTTTTTCTCAACACGACACCCAAAGATGGCACAGTTACACAGAAGACAAACACTTAGAGTGAGTAGAAATACTTTGTTTGAATACAAAATATATTTTGCATTGTATAAATTCACTTTTCCACATCCTAAATGTATTTGTTAAATGTAAACATTGTTTGTAAATCCCAGGCCCTGAAGATGATCTCAATAAAAGATCGAAACGTTGGCACGATAAAGAAAATGTTTTTCTGAAACCCACATCACACCCGACCGCATCTCACGATATCTGAATAACTACATGTATTATTGTCGTTATATTAATTACAACATACTTATTTTAACATAAACCAAATTAACCGAGATCAAAAATTCATTATTGTCGTTATATTAATTACAACATACTTATTTTAATATAAACCAAATTAACCGAGATCAAAAATTCATTAGGTTTTATTTATTAAAAAAAATTAATTTTAATGGTTTGGTAGAAAATTGATTAAAAACCGGAATACCATTTTTTGATATAATGAATTTAACTAACAATTTATTACACGGTTTTGCTCATAAAATTTAACTAACAATTTATTTCATGGTTTTGCTCATAAAATTACACCGTTTTCGTCGAGTAGCGTCAGAAAAAGACACTCATATTTTTTGTAGTTTATTTCAAATTATGTATATGTAATTTTGTCGTTATATTAATTACAACATTCTTATTTTAATGTAAACCAAATTATACGAGATCAAAAATTCACGATTTTTTATAAAAATTATTTAATGGTTAGGAAGAAAATTTATGAAAACACCGGAATAACTTTATTTAAAACAATTAAGTTTAATGAACAATTTATTACATGGTTGTGCTCATAAAATGTAACTAACAGTTTATTACAAGGTTTTGATCAAAATAGTGCATTATGAACAAAAGAGGCGTTGCGATTGTGATACTGATTATTTTGATACACGCTGTGCTCTTGACGTTGCATAGATGCGCACACCCTACCAAAACTTGACAAGGCGTCGGGTAGCATTGGGTAGCGTTGCATTGGGTAAGTAAGCTTTACAGTAAAGTGGCCTAGTATTCGAACCCGACATACTTACAAATGTTTTTTTTAAACACCCACACCCCGCGGGTTGATATACCTCTGCTGTTGCGAACCCTTGTACAAAAAAATGAATGTTTTGATTCGAATGATCATTGAGTTTCGCTTAAACTTTTTTTAAAATTGTAGTTTAATGGGTTTTCTTTCTTCCGAGATGGCTCATTGGAATTGTAATTATGTTGTTTTCCGCAGGAGTTGAAAGCAAGCAATCAACGAGAGTCAGCAAGGACGTGGCGTAACTTTTCCAATAGCCCCCTACCACAATTAATCATGATTTCTGCTTAAAGTTAATTACTTTGGCCAAATTTTAACGGCCGGAAACGTTAAACACTGTTCATTGTTCATAACAAGAAGAGGATTAGGGTCCGGTTCGAAATCCTTTTGGACTGGAACGAAGGATGCAGACTGTAGAAGGTCAGGTGCTGCTCTCCGGCTTGTTTTAGTTTTTTTTTCCAACGAGGAAAACTGAATTCCAGTGACCACGATTTCACAACACTAACGAAATGTACTAGACTGCCTCATAGGTCGAATCATCGATTTTTTTTTTCATAATTGCAAATTGTGACCCTTGAGCTTCATTGTGACTGTGAGCTTCATAAGGAGCTTTTATAACTACACAGTAAAAAAAACTGGAATTCGCTTATAGCTATACGGAATAAACAATATTTCGGGAATAAAGACGTTTTGTTTGGTTTTCTATATCACGTGCAGTAATTTTGTTCGTATTTAACGATGCCCGATACAGCGATAATCCGTAAATAGCAATATATTTAGAAACGACAAAAGTCCTTTGATTCGCTTATAACGATTTTCTGAGATTTTCTTCCCGTTACATTTTCTGAGTATTAATGAATGACTAAAGATCTCAATTGTTTGATTCAGTTGAATCTCCAATTTGTGGAATTTCCTATCCGGTTTTCAATACACACAAATTTTAATTACCTTTCAACTCAGTCTCACATGGGGAAAACCAGGTTGTTGAGTCACAGATTTGGATAAGACTTTTTTTGTTGATTTGACATTCCAAAATATCGGACGCATATTCCCCACTTCTTGCCAAAAGAAATTCTGAAAGTTGACATTTTCCCTTATTTAATATTTTTATTTCGGCGTGCTACTTGCTATGTGAATATATCATTTTTCAGCATATTTTATGTAGATAGCAATAAAAATATATTAAAAACTATCAAAGATTATCAATAACCGAAAAATATCTAAAAACCAAATGTTTTTCTAGTAAACTAGGTCCTTTATATTTTTTTACGAAAGTTCTCAACAGCAGAGATCATATGAGAAATGATAAACTCAACTCTGTACACTCGTGTATGTACATGTATGTGCAGATCAGTAATCAGCTAATATGACGTAGTAATTTAAATTCAAATTAAAAGTCAATAATTATTCAGAAATCAATTTTTGTGCTTGTCAAACGTCATTTTTGGGCCAACTTTAAAAGAGATGTCATTTGGTTTTTTTAAACTTTTTTACACATTTAAACTTATCTTATCTTACGTGACAAAACACAAATCGAATGTTAAATTACAACCTGGAAATGAATGCACAATGAAAGCAGAAAACCAAATTTTTAAAAAATTATTCAGATTATTCAGAAATCGTGAGATGCGGTCTGGTGTGATGTAGGTTTCAGAAAAACATTTTCTTTATCGTGCCAACGTTTCGATCTTTATTGAGATCATCTTCAGGGCCTGGGATTTTCAAACATTGTTTACATTTAACAAATACATTTACGATGTGGAAAAGTGAATTTATACAATGCAAAATATATTTTTTATATTCAATCAAAGAATTTCTACCCGTACTTTACTTCTACTATACTAAAGTAGAAATACTTTGAATATAAAAAATATTCAATTTCTGAATAATTTTTTAAAAATTTGGTTTTCTGCTTTCATTGTGCATGCATTTCAAGGTTGTAATTTAACATTCGATTTGTGTTTTTTCACGTAAGATAAGATAAGTCTAAATGCATAAAAAATTTACAAAACCCAAAAGACATTTCCTTTAAAATTGGAAAAAAAGTGTTTGTCTTCTGTGTAATTGTGCTATTCTTGCGTGTCGTGTTGAGAGTGCCAGTGAGATATTTCTGTTTTATGTTTATTGTATTGTATTTATGTTGATTGTATATAAAAAATATATTTTGCATTGTATAAATCCACTTTTTTCCACATCCTATATGTATTTGTCCTGAAGACGATCTCAATAAAGATCGAAACGTTGGCACGATAAAGAAAATGTTTTTCTGAAACCTACATCACACTGGACCGCATCTCACGATTTCTGAATAATTATCGACTAACGGTCACTAATCACCACACATTTCCACATTAAATGTTAATACTTTAATGAAAAAAATTCATTTTTTAAAAAATCGTTTCAAGCTAATCCATGATTGTACTTACAAAATTATACATTCGATATTTTTAAACCTTGTCAGAAAAGGAAGATACAACTGGTGTTAAAACAGACTAGTCAAAATAACGTTTATTGTTGAAATTTTTCTAAAAAAAACGACATTTCTTCGCGTTTTTTGGAAGTAACTCAGCAAGGATAGAACCAGCTGGCGCGTGGCCTTGTTTCTCGTAAAGAACCTACATGAAGATAATTATAATAATGGTCTCATTAGCAGGAAATAACGATTCAATTATAATCATTCAAAATATACCAATTATGGAATTCTCCATGTTAAAAATAAATTCCCCTTAATTTCTATTCATTCAAATTCTTTACGTGCTCTTGCTAATACAAGAATGGGGCAGATGTTTAGTCAGAATATTTAATCGGATTGTATTCGATTGTTCAAAATAGCTAATATATTTTTTTTTTGACGAGGATTCGCAACAGCAGAGGTCATATCAACCCTCGGGGCGCCGATGTTTTTGAAAAAAATCCCATTTGTAAGTATGTCAGGTTCGAATGCAGGGCCGCTGGATTCGAACCCGGGACCTTTCCCTTACAGTGACGAGCGCCGTGTCAACGCCTAAAACGTTGCGGCCACCGACGCCCCCAATAATTTAATATTCAATTAATAACAATGATTTTAATATTTTATAAATTGTACTGTCAGACAAAACAAACATGATATTGTTGCTATCTAAATTATTAAGAAGATAATTAATTTAAAAACCTGCATAATATTCTCTAACTTCACAATATTTAGAAACTGTTAATATTTATTGAAAAATACAAAAATCTGTGATTTAAAAAAATAGTAAATAAGTACTACTACAGGAAATATATTACTAAAGGAGAAAGTATCCAATTATGCATTCATCCTTCCAATTATTGTTTTAATATCTTTCTTTAAAAATTAGGGCATTCACGCAACCATTATATCATGTTAAATGTGTTATTGTGTCGTTGAGTTGGGTTAAACATCCTTGATGAAAATCGTTTGATGAAATTGAATTTCATCCTTTTTAATCCTTCTCTTTTCAACTAGTCCTTTCCTTTTTTTAAATTCTTTTTAGAACTTAAACGACCCGTGAATTAAGGAGGAGTCGTAGGATCAACGATTTTAATTAAACCTTTTTTGTAGATACTAGGTCAAACAATATTAGACACGTGTATGAGCGTTCTTGTCAGTAGGACCTATCCGGAAAAAACATATTTTGAATAATTTCAATATTTTAAAAAAATGTGATTAGTGACCGTTAGTCGAAGATTATTCATAAATCGTGAGATGCGGTCTGGTGTGATGAAGGTTTCAGAAAAACATTTTCTTTATCGTGCAACGTTTCGATCTTTATTGAGATCATCTTCAGAGCCTGGGATTTACAGACATTGTTTAAATTTAACAATACATGTAGGATGTGGAAAAAAAGTGAATTTATACAAAGCAAAATATATTTTTTATATTCACTCAAAGTATTTCTACTCACTCACTGGCACTCTCAACACGACACGCAAGAATGGCACAATTACACAGAAAACAAATATTTTGAGTGAGTAGAAATACTTTGAATATAAAAAATATATTTTACATTGTATAAATTCACTTTTTTTCCACATCCTACATGTATTTGTCAAATTTAAACAATGTTAGTAAATCCCAAGCCCTGAAGATGATCTCAATAAAGATCGAAACGTTGGCACGATAAAGAAAATGTTTTTCTGAAACCTACATCACATCAGACCGCATCTCACGATTTCTGAATAATCTGAATAATTTTTTAAAAATTTGATTTTCTGCTTTCATTGTGCATGCATTTCAAGGTTGTAATTTAACATTCGATTTGTGTTTTTTCAGGTAAGATAAGATAAGTTTAAATGTATAAAAAATTTACGAAACCCAAAAGACGTTTCCTTTAAAGTTGGCCCAAAAATGACGTTTGGAAGGCACAAAAATTGAGAAAAAATATTTTTGTTTAGTTTTCCAACACTAATATCAACTTCGTTTCTTCCAAAAAAACATACCTTAACCTACTGGGTACGTTGCATTTGAAATTATGTATTCCATTATATATTTAAATGTATACAATACTTTAACCATAACATTTTTTAATTTTTTTCGTTACAAATGCCTCCGATTTTTTTTCCAAAAAACTTTATAAATTTTTGCAACTCTATGGAAACCAATAAGGCGCACATTTGGCCTCCTTAAATACATTAAAACCGTAGATATGCGATAAAACGTTTAAAAAGTATTTGTTCATTTGAACCATATTTTTTCTCTTATGATCACATAAAATCTAAACATAGTCCGCATAGTCTAAAATAAAAGATTAGAGTTTTCTAGCTCCTGTAATTTGGATGAAATTTAAATGAGTTATACATCTTTCAGTGGAACCCCCAAAATGCTATGTTCTTAATTGCTATAAAAGTACATGTACAAGAGCTTTAAGCCGTTTTTAAAAGTATTTCAAGAGGACCGTGGTGGCTAAGTGGTTAAAGCGTCATATTTTGAATAAACGAGGAAACGTTAAACTGGAATATAAGAATGGAATGGAAGAATATTTACAATAAGACTCAAAATTATTGTACTATAAAAGTTGCGCAAGTAAGAAAAAATGCGATAAAATAAAAAAAGAAAACACAAGATATCGTATTCGAATATGAAATAAAAAAACTCACGTAACCACAGCCCTATCGTAAGAAGAAACTTTCCGACAAATCGTCTAAAAATTGCAGTTAGTTCTTTTCCTAAAAGTCTTAAAAAATGTAATTAGTTGTTTGTCTTTTCATGATAAGTTCGTACTTATATTAAGAAGAATAATTTAGTATATTAATGTATTATCTTTTAATATCATGGGTCAAATTTGGTGGGCGGTATGTTATGGTTATAACGTAAGTCAATTAACGTTGATTCTCTCTACTACTGGTTGTCAGATGTTCAAAAGTTTTTTTGGTATCCGCCTCGTTTTTGCCAGGCTTGCGCTTCTGGGATCGAATCCCGACATAGGCCAGGGATTTTTAATTGAGAACAATGAGAAAAAGTTGTACAATGGTTTGAAATCTCGCCACCAACAACCAAGTTGGACTTTCCGGTATAATAGGAATTACATTAGTTTTGGAATTTTAATTTTTTTTTAAATTTATTCAAGAAAACATTTGTTTGTCCATTTTAGTGGATGTGGCTTTCGGTTTTTGAAACTTTTTATATGTACAACCACATTTAATAAAATCCGGCATATTTTTTTCTTACCGTACATAATTGACTGATATATTATTATAATTACATTAAAATACGTATGGAACAAATTCAGAAAACCACATTAAAAACTTACTTTTTAAATCATTCAAAATATTCTCTCTTGGCTCCTAGGGCCCATTGGTAAGCAAATGTGTTTAAACTTTTTTAAACCTAATACAGCAAAAAAGTTTTATTAAAATCGGTTATCCTACGTCCATAGCCTACATTTGTAAAGTGATAAGCAAACCAAGGCCTAAGAAAATAGCACAGTGGTTAGCAGATCCCAGACCATGCTATTGTCGAGTGCTCAATTATTTCCGAAAAGTTCATATTTTCATGCAAAACGTTTTAGCACTATTAACACAGTTTATCTGATTATTCTTATTAACAGACATAATGTATTTTTGGAATTCCTATGTTTTTTAATCGCATGAAAACTTTATTTTCAGAATATATGATGATATGTAATTCGTATAAAACTTAATAATCA